TGTGTTAATGATTTTAAAAAGGGACATAAACAAATAAATAATGGAGAAATACAGATTGAAATAAATGCCGCTTTCAAAAGTGAAATTAATTTAGGGTGAGAGGTGACATGTCTGTAAAAAAAACAATATACACAGAATAAGCATTAGAAAAATCAGATCAAGAGAAACTAAAAGACTCCACAACGTTGAGTGGGTAACCCACTGTGACTGCGTATTGTTGCAGCAGTGCCTGACCTATTAGCTGGTAAATTGGTCTGGTGTTACATTGACGATGAGTATCATGAATATCAAATGAACGGAAGTCAATATTAAGTAGTGTAAGACTCATCACATAGAAACAAAAATTGCATTCATGTATGAAATTTGTAAGTTCAGTGATAACTATTTGATTTTACACAATGAAAATAAGCAAAATTAATTTATAAGCACAAGAATATTCAATTGCCAATCAATTATTAAAAAAAACTCCTCTCTCTGAAAAAAAAGACTGCTACTAATTAAGTAATTTTAAGAAGACAATCAATTTTATATGACGTGTATTTTATTTCTTTTTAAAATCATTATTAACACTAGCTGAAATATTAATTATAATACTAGTAGGAAAATTAAAATAATGCATTTCATAACTAAATCTAATGGCATAGATGTGTTTTATTTAGATGATTTCAAAATGTAGTTCAATACTATTAATTGATTTAATTTTGTTCTATCGTGGTAAATGAACAAAACATAGACTCCTTTAAGTCTAGTGTATAAATGTAACTATGTACTTGAAAAAGCTTTTTACACATAATTTACTATTGTCAATAAATCACCTGAGAATAAATCTACATGATTACATGATTATTTATTACCTGAAAGGTAATATTATTTTAATTTGTTTTATGATCAATTTAAATTATCATTTATTTTCTGAGATGCAGTTAATATCATGCCAGTCATGCAGTTGAGAAACAATGCAGAGCATTACTCACAAAAAGAGCTCACTGGTCTCAAGAAGTCATCAAAGCCTTGTTGGTTTATTGTGTAAGAATAACACCAAGTTAGGTTAAAATAATTATTT